TATATATATATATATATATATATATATATAAATCCTTCAAATAGGAATAAAAGTTACTTTATTTAATTTTGACTCTTTTTTTTCCTACATATTCAACACTAATGTTTGAAAGTGCAGTTCCTGCTTTTTTTAGATCAGACAGAAACAGCAATGACAGTCAAAAAAAAAAAAAATCCTTTGTGAGTTAAATAAATTGCTTGCTATGTGTTTTATTAAAAGTCACATTAGTATCAAGTAGTGTTTATCTAAGTCACAATAGTATCAACCAAAGGTTTTGTCATCATTATAAATAAAAAAATTGTAACACACCGCAAGGTCCAACTTCTCCATCAGATGACTTTTCTGTTGTTTGTACTGAACCTGAAATGCAAGGAAGGAATAGAAAATAGCAACAGAAAACCTCTATACTGTTAGTAAGATAAAGTGGAGCTATTAATACATTTTTAAAGGTTCTACTTTTCTGTGATATATGTATTGTTAGAGTCCAGCAACAATAAAATATAGTAAATTAGGAGGGCTGGATCCTAGGCAACAATACAATTAGCTTTATGTTTAATATCATGAATCAAAGTTACAAAACATCTGATTTCAAAAAAGGGCAGTTGTTTTGGCCTCACATTAAATAAAAAAATTCAATCCATTACTCCCAAAAATAAATTGAACATTTCTGTTACCTGTTGCGGTGAGGAGCAGAGCTGCCAAAATCAGACTAATCATCTTGACAGAATAGAAGAGTTTGATGTTAGTTTGTTCCTGCCAAAAACACATTTCAGAGTGAGTTCACACAAAATGTTATAATAGGAGAAACAGTTCTTTTTTACTGGGTGAAACTGGTTCTGCAACACATTCATGCCTGACAGCCCGAATTTAAATACAGGATGCTGAAAGCTACATCTGTAGTTACACTGAAAATCTTTAATAACATTGCTTTAATTGTTTTCACAAACAGAATTTTCTTACCAAAATCTGCTGATATTTCTCTATAAAAAGTTATAGATGATCTTTATCACACAAGATATACACGATTCCTAACTTTGGTAAGTAAGTTAAATGATTAATTTTATAGATAACTATCAAACATTATACCAGAGAAAGCACAGGTAGCAGAGATAATGCCTTCAAAATTACATTTTACCTTTTTCTTGCTGAACCCTTGGCTTGTTTCAACTCGATGTCCTCTCCACACTGTTTCTGATCTGAGCTTAGTCCTTTTCTCTTCCTCCTCCTGCTCTACTTGTTTCGTCTTCAGATTACAGGAACTTTCTCTCCACATCAATGCGTTTTATTTCCTCCTTAAGTTAACTTGCTTTTGCTGCAGTGTTAAAAAAAACCTTTTAGAGGTTTAAATCAAAGGTGTGCAGGCTCTTTCTGTTTGGGGTTTGCTGATGAAACTCGACTTTAAGGCAGTTTTTCATTATCCCAGAGTCCACAAATATTAATCAGTTTAACTGCTAATAATTGCAATATTTGAAATTCATTGATTTCACATAGGAGAAGTTTACCTCTACATTTAACCCATCCCCTTGGGGAGCAGTGGGCTGCCATCGTGGGGCGCCTATGGAGCAATCAGAGGTTTAGGCTCTTGCTCAGAGACCCAGAGTGGCAGTCTGTGGGAGTGGGGCTTGAACTCAGAACCTCAGGATTCCAATGTCTATGCCCTAACCACTAGGCTGTCAAACCCCCTTACTAGTCCGCCACCCCCCCCCTTACACATAAGTTCATTTTAAACATAAGTTCCTTTTGGGTTACAAAAGACACTGAAAGTTGTGCTAGCTTTGAAAAGCAAAACCACTTATTTTTCAAATATGAGATAAACAAGTTCAAAACAGCCTGTTGGGGGAAAAAAAAATATATACCAACTTTTGAGCATAACACTATGGCAACAGCCACAACTAAAAATACTCACATTGCCTCAAATTGCAACATGACATCTCATTAAAGACTTCCTGCATTCTGAGTCATCACAGAAATAACTTTTTAAAGGTTGACCACAATTTTACCTTGAAAACAGAGCACTGTCTTTTTTGGTGTCCTGTTTTGCCAGTATAGCTCTGGATGATGTCCCAGAGCTACTGTAGATAATGCCCTTCAGACCTTTATGACTGTTACCATAAGGTTCTGCTTGGTTCTTGGAGTAAAACCAAATACAACAAACACAGAGACACAGAAAGGACGGCGAGAAAGAAAGAGTGTATAATAACTAAGCTAGAAAGTGATTGGGATAGGAAACAGTGCATAAAAATAGAGAAAATAAAACAAAACAGCAAAAATAGAAACGCAGAACATGTGCAGTAACTCCTAGAATTCTGCTCCACACCTGTATGAGATGAGAGAAAAAAAAAACAGAGCATATAAGGCTACCAAAATAAAGATCATAAAAAGCCTCGAGAGCAGCAAGTAGATGTCCATGTGGGCAAACCTTATGTTGATGACACAGTATTATTTACTGTAGTACATATCTGCAGAAAGTAAAAAGCTTGCACAGAGAACGATTTGCATTTCCAGCTCCACAACACAGACTACTCGCCTGAGAAGCTAGTCACTTGGTAAAGGGAACGCTATGAAAGAAAACAAAGCAGGGGTTTTTCTTTGTGGACTTGGATTAATGGCATAAATATCTGTAAGCAGAGACAGCAATTGCTTACGAGCCCACAACCTCTTAGGGGCCCCTTCACTGACACCTGGTTGGCCCCCTAGGCAATTGTAGAGTAGGACGTCTTTTTGCAGATTTAATGATGCGAACATTTTCTCTTAAATCCACCTGATACTGAAGGGACTAACCGCACTGGACCGTATAACCACAATATAGATCTTTAAAGAACAATGTATTTGAGTATTTCATTTTTTACACTACAACTTGGAATTATGGGTAACCCAGAGCGTAGATTAAAACCATAACCGCTACGTACAATGTGTTAGCAACAATGGATACCAAAAAGAGGTACTTAAGTGGATTCCAGAAAAGAAAAAGGAAAGAAGAGGTGCTTGAAGAACAGAAAAAACATTCCAAAATAAACACGTTCTTTCAAAAAACCAAAGAGGGAGAGGTGGACGTTGCTGCTACAGTAAGTAAAGATTGCGATAAGCATCTCCCTGAAATAATTATTTGAAAGAAATAATTTGAGCAGAGCATAAATACAAAAAACCCAGGCTAAAGATGCCAAGATCATTTCAGTCATATGTTGGCATTTACATATTAAAACCTGAAGGCCTGGAAATTATATTGTGGATTAAGTTATCTCAAACTGTAGAGGTGCTTAAGTGTCACCCTGTAACTTCGCTGCCACGTAGTGACAAGGCTGTTCATATTTACCTTTACTGTAGTTTAATCAGTAATCTTAGTTTCATTTGCATTTGAAATTTTGGAAGAAGAATAAAGAATACTTGTAAAGATAAAGAACTTGTAAAGATTATTGAAAGCTAAAAAAAAAAAGAATTACACCAATCCTGTCTTTTGTCTTGTGTAAGAAAAAGGTTCACAACAGAAGAAAATACTGCTGTTATCAATAAATGGCATACTCATATATATTTTAGTTGTCAAAAAAAATCTAACCACCAACTTTAACACTAACACACACCCACACACACCCAAACTTGTCTTAACATCTTTACTGGGCCTTTCCAATTACAGTTCCATTACAGGTTAATACCTGACTCTAACTCCCACCTAAACTCAATTCTCAACTTAGTCCTAGAACCCTGACCCAAAAACAACAATTCCACTCTTGGATTCCAGGCATTGGGTCAACAGGGAACATTCGGTCCCCACAGCATGATATTTTGCCAGACAATGGCCCCCACGATTTATTAAAAACAAGAACATACAAACACCCATGCACACACATAAACTAAAGTGAGAAACTTCAAAAATCTGTATTTAGAAAACTGATAAATGTCAACTGTTTGTGTTATTGCTGCATGTTTTTGGTATCTGGAAGATGCATCGTTACTGCAACTTAAGAAAAATATAACACATAAACATGTTAATTTTACTTCAGAAAGTTAATAAAATGACTAAATGGATTTAACAAAAAATTGAATCCCACTTTATTTTTTCAATAAATAGTCGGTCAGAAAGACTGCTCGTGGCTTCAACAGCAGTTCATAACTGCTTTTTTAATTTTCATTTTAACTTATTTATGCAGAAATAGCCGCCTATAACATGTGGCTATGTGAAATCAGAGTATCCACCAGAGGGCACTGGTGCTCAAAGATGTGAGAATAACTTGTGTGAGTCAGACAAGTTATTCAGGTGCAAAAAAAAAAAAAAAAACACAGCAAACTACATCTAATCAGCATCTAACTAAGCAGCCTTGCAAAGAACATGCAGGGATTCTCAGTTACATCTAAATACATATCAAACAATGAAGAATTTGTTCATCAGTATTTTCATCTCCCTTTCTGCTGGCCAGAAAAGACCGTTCCAGTTTAAGAGCTTTTTTAGTATGAAAGTAGTTTTCAGGCATGTGATTTCCACCAAGTAATAACTGATATTCCGTCAAAAAGACATTAAGATTGTTGTATTTAATGCTCACCCCCGGGCAATGTAATAATGATATACTTATGCTAGTTACTATTTATTAGATAACTTTTGAACTGTCATGTGCTGTTCTGTGAATACACATCTAATTGGTTGTATTAGGCCAACAGATGAGACTGTGAATCAAGCTCAAATCATAATCAAACAGTCAATTCTTCACATATTGGAATAAATTCACACCAACTTCGGTTTGAAATCTAAGAAATTATCAAAATAGATAATTAAATAGTGTGAAATACAAGGAGATCTAAAACAACAGCTAAACCTGAAAGAGAATACTGATTTAAAGTTGGACAGTCAAAATTGTCTTTCAAAGCCTTTATGAAATTTTATTGCCAAATGTGCACTAATGCCTGCAATTAACAACCCAATCAGAATCCAAGTTCTGAGGACATTAAGGATTCGAAGGTGAACAATCGAGAGGGTATAGGGAAACGGAGAGAAAACATTTTCAGAATTGTTTCTTATTAACACAGAATAGTAGCTTAGATAAAAATAATTATGCTGTAAACAGATGTTAATTAAAACTTTTTTTGTTAGATTGAGGCTTTAATGACGTTTTTTTGAAAGTAGGCAAACAGGAAATTGGATTAGAGTGAGGGGAAAGACATGTAGCAAAGGTCAACAGGCCGGTGCTTTAACCTGTTATGGCCACATAGAGGACCAAAGCCTACATGGGTCCATGCTTAAATCCTTCACCACTACTGTACTATTAGAAACTTTTAATAATTTGTTTTTATTGAAAAACCCATTTAAATACATTTCATGTTAAATGAAATGCAAATGTATTATTTAATACATGTACATATGTTTGTTTAAAATGAGTAAACAATATTTTTTTCAGTGATTTTTTTTTTTTACAGACACACTCATGTTATTTCTTAGCTGTGTGGGTAAAAGAAGCCAGACAAACAGATGCAGATCAGGTTATTTGACCGATTTTTTACATTGAAACTAGATTCCTGTTCCTGGGAGAAACTGTCAATACAAAGAATGATATTTAAAGGCAAGGATGAGGTTAAAAATGAATTATCAGTCAGTTGAACATCATCTGTTAGATTCAAATTATTTCTGTGACCATTCTGT